GCACACACAGATGCACACACAGATGCACACAGACACATGCCTAGATGCACACAGATGCACACCCAGACATGCACTGGCACACACAGACACACACACACAGACACACACACACAGACACTCACACAGACACTCACACAGACACACAGACACACAGACGCACACACAGACGCACACACAGACACTCACACAGACACTCACACAGACACTCACACAGACACTCACACAGACACTCACACAGACACTCACACAGACACTCACACAGACACTCACACAGACACTCACACAGACACTCACACAGACACTCACACAGACACTCACACAGACACTCACACAGACACTCACACAGACACTCACACAGACACTCACACAGACACTCACACAGACACTCACACAGACACTCACACAGACACTCACACAGACACTCACACAGACACTCACACAGACACTCACACAGACACTCACACAGACACTCACACAGACACTCACACAGACACTCACACAGACACACACACAGACACACACACACACACAGACACACACACACGCACCGGCACACCCAGACACGTGCCCACCCCCCACCTCCTTGTATCCCCCAGCCCCTGGCACAAAGCGGCCCCTGGCCCTGCTGCAGTCAGAGCCACGCACCGCGGGACAGCCCCGTGTGCATCCCGTGCCAAGCCCTGACACACAGCTGCTCTGGCCGCTCCAGAGTCACCCTGTGCCCCACACCATGGCGCTGCCAGAACAGACCTGGACACAGTTTAAGAAAAGGTTTACTGATCCATCAGTATTTCTGCCAATATTGCAACAGCTGTGAAAGGCAAACACTGTTACAGTTTAGAAAAAACAAATTTTGTACAATGAAAATATTAATCAAATCTCAAACCCCCAGTGGCTGAGGAATGAGCCTGGAGTTCCATATCCAGTATTAGCACCTGCAGCACCACCACCAAGCAATGTGGCCCTCCACCCCTGCCAAGCCTCTCTTCTGAACTCCTGAGTTCCTTCCACAACTGGACACTGACACTATACCAGAACACCTGGGCTTTGATGTGGGAAAAGGATGTTAGAGAAAGGATTCAGCCAGCTTGGGTTGTGGGGAACTTCACTCGTGCAGGTACTGCTGAGCAATGCATGGGGATGCTAAGGAATGCACAGCTCAACTCCTCAATGTGTGCCAGCAGACAGAATTAAGAAATCCATCTCACGCAATATCTTACAGTTTGTCAAATCAGTGTTTTCCTATAAATTATACATAAGAAATCCATAAAGAAACAGTTTTACACTTCATATATTAATCAGAAAAGGATGGGAATCATTGTTTTTATTGGCTCAGCATCCACTTTACCGTGCTCACTGTTCCATGACTGACCAGGCCTCTCTTGGTGAGCACTGACAGGGCCTACAACAGCACAGACACACGGGCAGAAAAACCACCAGGGTTAAAGTCTGGCTGTACCCCTCCCTTCCAGGGATAATCAAGACTTAACACAAGGAACACTTTGCCTTTAGGCTTTCCACAAGGATCAGCACAAGAGACATTGTCTTGAGTCACTTCTCACTGGGAAGAGGCACTGTGTATCTCTGCACTCTAACACTGAACTGGAGGGAAATTCCTAACTTTGAGCTGGAGCTTTCCAAAGCCCAACTGACACAGAAGGGTTTAAGAAGCAGGGAGGAACAGCACTGCACTTACAGGACTAAAACTAAACCTCTGTCAGGCTGAGGGCCCCATTTCTTTCAGGAGAGAACACAGCTTTACCACTTCTGCCTTTTCTTGAGAAAAAAAACCCAACAAACCAAACAAAAACTAAAAAGTGATCCTGTTGCTTCCAAATCTACTGCAAAGTGGATGCTGACCAGCTAGGTCACCCCCTGGGGAGCAGTTTGAGGAAGTTAGTCCTTGTAGTAGATGGCACTGTGGATCTGGCAGCAGAGAAAGGAATGATGCTCTAAAGTAGGAGGTAGGGGAACCTTGGTACAGCAAATCCACCGGTGAGCTATCATCTAGAAAAGAATGTCATATAGTCAGAAACTCTTCCTAAATCAAACCAAAAGCTCCCCTACACAAACTTTTCTACAGCTACAAGAAGAATGTGGCAGCAGGAGCAAGTCACCATGTGTTACGGTGAGCAGCATGAGCAGAACCCAGAACTCTTGATTTCATTTGTCCAAAAAAAACCGAAATACCTTTATTGTTTGTTTCTTTTTGCATAAATTTTTCCCACTCTTTTCTGTATACACTGCCAACAGTGTGTACAGAAAATCTGTACTTAACATTCCCATCTCAGGATCTGCAGGACCTAACACAAGGGAGCCAGTCCCAGTGAGAGCTTTCCAAAAGCAAAGCCATGGATAGTAATTTTGGTGGCCTATACTGGATACAATTAGCATGAGCCCAAGTCCTGTGAACACTCTTCACTTTGTGACTTGCCCCACAGCCTCAAGAAAACTGTAAGCCTCTCAGGAGAGCTTTACAAGGCTGCTGGCCCCTCTTACCCAAAAGCACCACAAGAAAGACATCAGAATGATAATCAGAACAGCAACCAACTGAAAAACTGCAACAAAAAGGCTCTGTATGCTAGAATACACCCAGGGACAGCATTCATTTTACCACACTGAGAAGACATTATATTGGACATAATATAGCACAATATACCATATTATATTTGACATAACATAGCACAAATTAGCATATTTACACAATCAAAACCCAAATTTTTCCAAGGTGATGTTCAGCAACATCATGCCCAGTACTGATATTTTTACTTCCAAGAAAAGCTGGTCCACACAGGATTTATGTGAACAGTCTTTGATTACATACAAGGGTAAGATAAACTCTCGGCATGACAGCACCCAATCCTCTGAGCACAGAAAGATGTTGAGACTGATCTGAGGTAAGCGTAACCTGTACCTGAGACTCCACAGTTCTATCTTCCACTGGTCAAACCTCTGTCTTCATAAATGGTAATTTCAATCTGCACAGAAAAGCTGTTAAGAAAATACATTATAAAGAGACTATGAAAACATATCCAGAAAAAAGCAGAAAAATGTTAAGATGATGGGACTTTTGATATCTTAGCTGTTTCAAGGCAGGTCCCAGAGCTCCGAAGCAAAGGGAACAGTCCATGTGAGATGTCTCCTCAGGTAAGAGCACTGGCTCCCAGCCTAGGGCTTGCACAGGAACTTGGTGCTGTGTACAGAGGGTTTGAGCCTTGCTCCCTTTCTGCTAAATTTTGGGGAAGGCTGTGCACCAAGCAATAAAGTTAATACTGCTAATATGTCACTTACCAAACTTGAAAATGCTTTTACTCAAGTTGAATGTTGGTTTGTTTTGTTTTTTTCTCCAGAAGGTGCATGCACAGCGGAAAACAGACTGAGAAAAAAGGAGTCATGTAGGTGACAGCTCTGAGCTATTGGGACAAGGACACAGAAAACCTAACTGCAATCAGCCTTATCATACATTCAGTTGGCACTGGGTTCCAAGTTGCTGTGGTTTCAATATTTTCACAGAAAGATGTGTTACTCACTATACTCCCCCATGTGCTATTAGAGGTCTTTACAACTTCAGGCAATAACCACATAAAATGTCTGCAGTGTGGCTTAACAGCAGAAGAAAAAGGGTTGAAATAAGCCACACTGCAAACAAGAACAAGTGCTGGGCTTGTAGTGATGCTGTATGTCAAAATCATCACCAGAACCTGAGTTAGCTGCAAATTAACTAACAGCCAGCTCTTGTTCTCACAACATCATTACCAACATGGTCACTTCTTTTCCCAAACAGAAAAACAGCATCTCTGGAGGTCACTGGAATAGAGGAAGGATCTTGATTGCTCTTTCCAGGCAGTCACAAAGGTCAGGTTCCACATTTTCATGGGCTTTTCATGTACCAAACCTTAACATACTAAAACCTGACTGGAGACCAGGACACAACAAAGTGCAACAAGACTAATCACTGATTCCATATCACAGATCAAGCATGAGCAGAGGTCCCTCACTGAGAAAATTGAGGAGCACAAGGCAGAAGACAATGTCAGAAGCCACAGAAGGATACAACTCTTAATCCTCTTTCAATGGGGTCTGTCAGCAGAAGGCCCTGAGGAGCGTAGATCTTCTCATTCTGCTCCTGAATGAACTTAGCGATTTTCTTTAAAACCTGGTAATGAAACAGCACAGGAGTCACAACTGTTTCCTTTCCAATGATATCACAGATATGGCAACATCAGCACCAACACACAACTG